GAATGTAAAGTCGAATATCTCGAAAATGGCCGGTCCAAATTCGACCAAAATTTGTGTGGAAGTACATCTTGGCGCTCTCTATCGATGGCTCTTAGGATTTGTCTTTAGTGATAGAGAGACTTTAACCAGACATCACTGGAAATGACTTACCGTTTGTATAGTTGTCGACATTTAACTGATTTACTGAAACCAAACTTTCCTTCAAGTGTTTTAAAGCATTGATTTCTTGACGAAACTTATAATCAATTTTACAATTAATTGAATAATTGTTTTGAAAACAAATGGTTTGCAAATGACATTTAACTGATTTACTGAAACCAAACTTTCCTTCAAGTGTTTTAAAGCATTGATTTCTTGACGAAACTTATAATCAATTTTACAATTAATTGAATAATTGTTTTGAAAACAAATGGTTTGCAAATAATTGCTATAATTTTCATATTTTTTGGCCAATAATTGAAATCTCGATAAATCTGTTGACAAACAATTGATTTCTCGTTTCAATTCATTTACACATAAATACAACTCATTTCGCGTTAATTGCGATAAAATCACAAAATCTTCACTCATTTTGCTGTCTCTAAACGCAAAGGATTTTCATTTGAATTGCAATTAAAACTGAATTTAACGCAAAATAAATTGTCTTCATTTCATGCAAACACCAAAACATATGAAACATTTGTTAAGTTATGCATAAATAATGTTAGAAATGGACTGAAAATATAGCCAACAATTGATATGCGATTGCAATACAAATATAGTTGTGATCGCAAACAGGGGTTCAATTGATTGCAATATAATTAACACAATATTTATACAAATTTTTGTAACACTAAATAATTAACAAAAAACTTTGAGCGCTATATTTGATTATGTAATGCATTAATCAAACATAACTTTATACAAAATATAGTAATTGATTGAAGTATTAATTATTGATTTAATTATAGCTATATTGTATAACTTCTAATATTGTATTACAAAACACACTAAATGTGATGGCAATAATGAAATACTGTATAAGTGATTATCACAAACAAAATGTATGTAAATTCACGCGATAATTATAATTTGTACATTTGATTTGAATGTTATTTAAATTGGATTATAAGATAGAAATATTTTTTTAAAAATAGTTACAAAACAATATTTCAACGATTTTTAGAGCACTTATTCTTAGTCTTCGAAGAAAATGTCAAAACAAATGATAATAACTTTCATTATATTTGTTTCAATTCTAGTAATTGAATGCCAAGATGTTTGTGAATTTATCAAAACTAATGGCAATCAAATTAAAATGTACCACAAGTGGAGTTATGTTGATACTAAGGTCACTTCACAGTATTATATGTATTCAAAAGGCAATGAATGGCAGTTTTGGTTACAAAGTGATAGCAATTCACTGAAGGTATCAATTGATAAGTCAGAGACACAGACAGGGGATAGAGTTGTGAACAGATTTTCTGGTATTATGAGAGATACTAAACAAGAGAAGCACCCATTTAATTGTTTTGCAAATTATACGGTATTTTAATAAATACTTTAAATTTCACTCTTTTATTACATAATTATCACAAATAATAGGATACACTTCAGAAACGATTGTATACCACTTGTGATATGCCAGGCGGTGATATCAACGATACAACACAATACGAGGCAAAGGGTGTGATATTTAGTCCAAAAGTTGTCACCAAAGACATTCCAAACAATTATCTCATTGTTTTGGACACAACTAACAACTCGACTCAAACATTGAAAATAGCTTTCGACAGAAACACCAATTCTAAAAGCATTTCATTGATACCAAACTGCAATCCAAATCAAAATGAGTGTAAAATTCCGGAATTTGTTTCTAAAATACCCGACTCTTTGCGCAAACAATTGAAAGGAATCGTCGATTACCACATAGATTTAAAGGCCGGATATTTGCTATGGTTTGACATCAATGGACGCCCGAAGTACTGCATCACACCTGTAGATCAGCCACTTTCTCAACAAGTAATTAGTGTTTAAAGCAATTCAATAATAATATTTAAAAATAAACACAAATTTATTTTATTTTTAGTGCAATTCATCGGATAATATGATTGCTTATGAGATGCCGTGTATGGAAAAGGGGTCTAAGAATACTTTATGGATTTGGATTGTGATTATTGTGGTTCTTGTGATACTTGCGGCAGTATTTGTAGAGATAAAATACCGATTGATTCGTAAAAAAGGTAAAAAACCTAAACCCAGTCCATCACTACCAACGCCTCCCCACACGTACAGCACTAATGAAAATGAGATCTCTACTCCAGGATCGTCTCCCACCTCCTCTACCTCTGACCCATCGACGAGAACAACACCGAAACCGGTATCGCCGAAGACAGCGGCGGCCAAAGCGGCAATGGCTTTGAAAAATAAACTGTCGCCTCGAAAGCGAACCACAACTGAGCAATCAATAGACGCCGGAACTCAAACAGAAGATGTGATCCCATAAAAGACACCAAACTTATCAATTTGTTATCACATATCACTCGTTATAAACAATTGTTTAGTAATACTATTCCGCAAATTGTTTTGTAAGTTAGGAAATAAAGAACATATAAACAGAATATAAATAAAATATATTTTGAGATTTGAAATTCAATTCAATGACATATAAGTAACTTAAATAAATTTTCTTTAATTTTTTTAATATTAATCTTTCAGAGAAAATCTTAAAAATATAATTCCCACAAGTAACGTATACATTATATACATATTGATTGTGTAAGTAACCCTCGGTCTGTACTGTGGTCAATTTGGCCGATAAATGTTAGAAATTTGGGCCATCAAGAAAATGGCAAGATTTTTATAAATAATATTCTACCTACTATAAATAACAACAGGTTTGAATAACAATTTCCGGCCATTTTCGAGATATTCGACTTTACATTCGGGAAAATTTTAGGCTAGTGTAGACTTATAACTACGAATTCCCCATAGAGTTACATTGTACAGTCTAGTAGTATATGATACAAACCAGCCAAGTGTACAGTATTGCTACGGTATTCCTGGCATAGCAGCAAACAACAATCCCCAACACTTATATGGTTAGCACGGCAGCGCAAGTGCGAAACATCGTGGATTCAATTGTAACGATCCGAGCGGTCATTATTTAAACTAAACGGGGATCTCTATTATGCGGAACCGGCCGCTGTCCATACTCGTGACGTTACGGTCAAATAGACACATTACCGATTGAATGTGTAAAATTAAATTACTTTGTTGTAATATTGGTTAAGTTCTTACATTTCCTTCAAACATCGATTCTTGTTCAGAAATTATTAACTGCTTATACTACTTCACAGGGTGTTAGTATATCATACTTGGCTGGTTTGTATCATATACTACTAGACTGTACAATGTAACTCTATGGGGAATTCGTAGTTATAAGTCTACACTAGCCTAAAACTTTCCCGAATGTAAAGTCGAATATCTCGAAAATGGCCGGTACTTGGCTGGTTTGTATCATATACTACTAGACTGTACAATGTAACTCTATGGGGAATTCGTAGTTATAAGTCTACACTAGCCTAAAATTTTCCCGAATGTAAAGTCGAATATCTCGAAAATGGCCGGTCCAAATTCGACCAAAATTTGTGTGGAAGTACATCTTGGCGCTCTCTATCGATGGCTCTTAGGATTTGTCTTTAGTGATAGAGAGACTTTAACCGTGATGTCTTGATTATTGTCTTTGAGATAGAGAAACCGTTTATTTTTTAAAACTAAATATTAAAGTATACAGTCATTAATAATTCTCTTTGAGTAACGCTAATAGACCTGTTGGTAAGCAAATAGATTAAACATTACACTTTAATATCTATGAAATCAACCAAAATCGCTTCCGAGCGGTTTCCCTACTTTGAGATAAAACTAAAACTTTTTAATATTAATTGAAAACTTAGTGATCAATGAATCCGAGGTTTTAATCGCTCCCAAAACGAGTCCTAAAACTGCTGTCAAAACAGTGTTCAAAGAGAAAGACGTTGTAAAACATGAGTCGCGAGACAGTGATATCGGTGTCCAAGAAGTAGGTCTTGAATGTAATGTCAATTTGGTATCGAATGAAGGGATAATCGACGGAACCGCTGATGAAAGCGATGACAACGTAAACCCTGTCGTCGATGAAACACAAAACGATTGCGATTTGAATACAAGAACTGATGATAAAAGTGATACCGAAAGTGGCGGTCAATCGGGCGATGATTACTGTAACGATTCCAGTGATGATGACTATCAGCCAAAGAATACGTTTGCCGAGCATTACATGCAATCGTCAATTAATTGTAAAATTGATTATAAGTTTCGTCAAGAAATCAATGCTTTAAAACACTTGAAGGAAAGTTTGGTTTCAGTAAATCAGTTAAATGTCGACAACTATTCAAACGGTAAGTCATTTCCAGTCATGTCTTGATTATTGTCTTTGAGATAAAACCAAAACTTTTTAATATTAATTGAAAACTTAGTGATCACTGAATCCGAGGTTTTAATTGCTCCCAAAACGAGTCCTAAAACTACTGCCAAAACAGTGTCCAAAGAGAAAGACATTGTAAAACATGAGCCGCGAGGCAGTGATATCGGTGTCCAAGAAGTAGGTCTTGAATGTAATGTCAATTTGGTATCGAATGAAGTGGTAATCGACGAAACCGTTGATGAAAGTGATGACAACGTAAACTTTGTCGTCGATGAAACACAAGATGATTGCGATTCGAATACAAGAACTGATGATAAAAGTGATACCGAAAGTGGCGGTCAATCGGGCGATGATTACTGTAACGATTCCAGTGATGATGACTATCAGCCAAAGAATACGTTTGCCGAGCATTACATGCAATCGATAGCCAAACACAGACCGCCGCCGACGGGAGGAAAGTTCGTGTGCGATGTCGAGGGCTGTGAGAAGTCATATAAAACTAAAAGGGCTCTCAATCAACACCGAATGGCTCACTTCGGCAAACGGTTCTACTGTTCCTATGAAGACTGCAATAAACACTTGGGCACTGAATCAATGATGATTCAGCACAGGATAAAGGGTCCACACGTATTGGGCGGCCGGCCGTATGTGTGCGGTATTAAGCGCTGCGTCTATGAGACACGCGTTAAGGAGGAGTTGGAGTCGCATATAATGACCATTCATTACGATCATCAGCGAACTGTTCATCCCGTGGTTTGCGATGAATGCGGACAACATTTTAACCGCAAAGAGTTTTTGGCGATACATATGCGCGAAGACCACTCCCCAGACGGGCGGTTCAAATGCGAACAATGCGATCGCACTTTCGGTAAGAAGAAAGGCCTACGACTGCATCGCGAGAACGAGAGGTGTCGCGTATATCGGTGCCAATGGCTGGGATGTCGGTTCCGGACGCCCTATAAGATACTGTTGTATTATTCGCACGTAAACACTCACTCCAAGGGGCGACCGAAGGCCAAACAGGACTCCAACCCACGCGCCGATGACACCAAAGAGCCGAAGCGCACGCATAGGTGTGAAGTGGAGGGCTGTGGAAGCGCTTACAAAACGGAAGCGGCGCTGAAAATACACAGCTGTCGTAAACACGGCAACCAATACGCGTGCGATTGGCCCGGATGTGACTTCAGGACTGGAAGTCGCTATACACTGGACAACCACGTGAAGGTTAAGCACACCGACGAACGACTGTTTCCGTGCGCTCTCGACGGCTGCCAATTGAGTTGTCGCCATAAGACTCACCTCCTCGTGCATCAGCTCCGCGCACATCCCGACCACTTCCCCGATAAGCCGTGGTTTAAATGCGAAGAAACCGACTGTGAGTTTCGCACGAAATGCAAGTACGCGATCGACAAACACGTGAAAGACCACAACAAGTCTTACGAGTGCGACATTTGTGGCAAAGTTTTGAAAAGAGAGCACCGATTTGTTATGCACAGACGCGCCCACACGCAGTCCATACGGTGCTCGTGGCCCGGGTGTGAGACAGTGGTGGCCAGTGAGGACACTATGAGGGATCACTATAACACACATACAAAAGCTATAGTATACCGGTGTTTGTTTCCCGGATGTGAGAAGACATTCCTTCAGCGCACCGCTTATTTCCATCACAAAAGCAATCATAAGAGCGATCGTCCGCGACATCGATGCCATTGGCCTGAATGTGATTACGAGACCTCTAATCGGGAGTTACTTAAGCGACATATCGATAGACATAACGGCGTGGAGACAGTCGTCAAGAAGAGGAAGAGAAGTCCACCCAAACAACAAAAAGAGCTAAAAAGTCCAAAAAATAATGTTTTCGTTGAGAAATGAATTTATAGATTGTATTTTATCTTAAGTTTATTTTCTATATTTTTAATTCATTAAATCATTTCAACAATTCATTTGTAATATATTTTACAAATAAATTCAATTAAACAGTAATATAATTGTTTGTGAAAACTATATTTACTTACAGTTCCAACCAATGGACAAATACAAAGGCAATTACCGGTCAATTGATGAGAGATCTAATGTATAAGTAATTGAAAAATTACTAAATTTATTAATGATTTATTTAATCAAATATTGCGCCCAAAGTATAAGCAATTTAACGTTAATTATAATTTATAAACGACTATATTATATGAAACTTTTGGTCCCCTTTATTGCCATTACAACGATATTTGTATTGCAATTGTGTATCAATTGTTGGTTAAGTATTGACCCCTTTATACACGTTATTTATGAATTGCATTTCACGTGTTTTATATGCCATTTGTTTTGGTGTTTAAGCCATGAAAACAAGTTTTGTTTTCAATTTATGCCTTAAAATCAGTTTTAATTGCAATTAAATGAAAGAGTTTTGTGTTTAGAGACAACAAAATGAGTGAATATTTTGTGATTTTATCGCAATTAACGCGAAATGAGTTGTATTTCTGTGTAAATGAATTGAAACGAGAAATCAATTGTTTGTCAACAGATTTATCGAGATTTCAATTATTGGCCAAAAAATATGAAAATTATAGCAATTTTTTGCAAACCATTTGTTTTCAAAACAATTATTCAATTAATTGTAAAATTGATTATAAGTTTCGTCAAGAAATCAATGCTTTAAAACACTTGAAGGAAAGTTTGGTTTCAGTAAATCAGTTAAATGTCGACAACTATTCAAACGGTAAGTCATTTCCAGTGATGTCTTGATTATTGTCTTTGAGATAAAACCAAAACTTTTTAATATTAATTGAAAACTTAGTGATCAATGAATCCGAGGTTTTAATCGCTCCCAAAACTACTGCCAAAACGGTGTCTAAAGAGAAAGACATCGACAAACATGAGCCGCAAGACAGTGATATCGGTGTCCAAGAAGTAGGTCTTGAATGTGATGTCAATTTTGTATCGAATGAAGTGGTAATCGACGGAACCGTTGATGAAAGCGATGATAACGTAAACCTTGTTGTCGATGAAACACAAAACGATTGCGATTTGAATACAAGAACTGATGATAAAAGTGATATCGAAAGTGGCGGTCAATCGGGCGATGATAACTGTAACGACTCCAGTGATGATGACTATCAGCCAAAGAATACGTTTGCCGAGCATTACATGCAATCGATGGCCAATCACAGACCGCCGCCGACGGGAGGACAGTTCGCGTGCGATGTCGAGGGCTGTGAGAAGTCATACAAAACTAAAAGGCAACTCAATCACCACCGAATGGCACACTTCGGCAAACGGTTCTACTGTTCTTATGAAGACTGTAATAAACACTTAGGCTCTGAATCCCCGATGATTCAGCACAGGAGAACGGGTCCACACGTGTTGGGCGGCCGGCCGTATGTGTGCGGTATTAAGCGCTGCGTCTATGAGACACGCGTTAAGGAGGAGTTGGAGTCGCATATAATGTCCATTCATTACGATCATCAGCGGACAGTTCATCCCGTGGTTTGTGATGAATGCGGACAACATTTTAATCGAAAAGAGTTTTTGGCGATACATATGCGCGAAGACCACTCCCCAGACGTGCGCTTCAAATGCAAACAATGCGATCGAACTTTTAGAAAGAAGGAAAGCCTACGACTGCATCGGCAGAACAAGAGGTGTCGCGTATTTCGGTGCAAATGGCCGGGATGTAAGTTCAGGACGCCCTATAAGATACTGTTGTATGGGTCGCACGAAAACACTCACTCCAAGGGGCGACCGAAGGCCAAACAGGACTCCAACCCACCCGCCGATGACACCGAAGAGCCGAAGCGCACGCATAGGTGTGAAGTGGAGGGCTGTCGACGCGTTTACAAAACGGAAGCGGCGCTGAAAAAGCACAGCATTCATAAACACGGCACTCAACACGCGTGCCATTGGCCCGGATGTGACTTCAGGACTGGACTTCGTTCTGTAGTGGACAAACACGTGAAGGTTAATCACAGCGACGACCGACCGTTTCTGTGCGGTCTCGATGGCTGCCAATTGCGTTGCCTCCAAAAGTCTCTCCTCCTTATCCATCAGATCCGCGGACATCCCGACCACTTCCCCGATAAGCCGTGGTTTAAATGCGATGAAACCAACTGTGAATTTCGCACGAAATGCAAGTATAGGATCGCCACTCACATCAAAGGTCACACCAAACCCTTCGTGTGCGACATTTGTGGCAAAGGGTTTCAATCAAAGAATCACTTAATTATACACAGACGCGCCCACACGGAGACCATACGGTGCTCGTGGCCCGGGTGTGAGACAGTGGTGGCCAGTGAGGACACTATGAGGGATCACTATAACACACATACAAAGGCAATAGTATACGAGTGTCTGTTTCCCGGATGTGATAAGACATTCCTTCAGCGCACCTCTTATTTTCATCACAAAAGCAATCATAAGAGCGATCGTCCGCGACATCGATGCCATTGGCCTGAATGTGATTACGAGACCTCTAATCGGGAGTTACTTAAGAGACATATCGATAGACATAACGGCGTGGAGACAGTCGTCAAGAAGAGGAAGAGAAGTCCACCCAAAACAACAAAAAGAGCTAAAAAGTCCAAAAAATAATGTTTTCGTTGAGAAATGAATTTATAGATTGTATTTTATCTTAAGTTTATTTTTCATATTTTAAATTTATTAAATCATTTCAACGATTCATTTGTAATATAATTCACAAATAAATTTAATTAAACACCAATTGTTTGTGAAAACTATCTTTATTACCTACAGTTATTAATTGACACCATGGTCACATTACACAAACCCGATGGAATCTTTGGCCCTCCAAACGGTTCCAACCAATGGACAAATACAAAGGCAATTACCGGTCCATTGATGAGAGATCTAATGTATAAGTAATTGAAAATTTACTAAATTTATTAATGATTTATTTAATCAAATATTGCGCCCAAAGTATAAGCAATTTAACGTTAATTATAATATAAACGCCTATATTATATGAAACTTTTGGTCCCCTTTATTGCCATTACAACGATATTTGTATTGCAATTATGTATCAATTGTTGGGTAAGTCTTAACCCCTTTATACACGTTATTTATGAATTGCATTTCACGTGTTTTATATGCCATTTGTTTTGGTGTTTAAGCCATGAAAACAAGTTTTGATTTCAATTTATGCCTTAAAATCAGTTTTAATTGCAATTAAATGACAATTATTTGTGTTTAGAGACAACAAAATGAGTGAAGATTTTGTGATTTTATCGCAATTAACGCGAAATGAGTTGTATTTATGTGTAAATCAATTGAAACGTGAAATCAATTGTTTGTCAACAGATTTATCGAGATTTCAATTATTGGCCAAAAAATATGAAAATTATAGCAATTATTTGCAAACCGTTTGCAAACAAAACAAATACACGATTAATAAAATTGATTACAAATTCAAACAAGAAATCAATGCTTTAAAACACTTGAAGGAAAGTTTGGTTTCAGTGAATCAGTTAAATGTCGACAACTATACAAACGGTAAGTCATTTTCAGTGATGTCTTGAGTATTGTCTTTGAAATTTTCAAACAAGAAATCAATGCTTTAAAACACTTGAAGGAAAGTTTGGTTTCAGTGAATCAGTTAAATGTCGACAACTATACAAACGGTAAGTCATTTTCAGTGATGTCTTGAGTATTGTCTTTGAAATCAAAGTAAAACTAAAACTTTTTTAAAATATCATTTGAAAACTTAGTCATCACTGAAAACGACGATTCAATCCCTCATAAAACCAGTCCTAAGACTACCGGCAAAACAGTATCCAAAGGGAAAGTGATTGCTCGCAAAATCAGTCCTAAAAGAGACCGAAAATCAGTATCGAGTGATTCCGAGAGTGACAGTCAATCGGGCGATGATTACTGTAACGATTCCAGTGATGATAACTCTAAGCCTGAGGACACGTTTGCCGAGCATTATCTGCAATCGATAGCCAAACTGAAGCGACCGACGGGAGGAAAGTTCGTGTGCGATGTCGAGGGCTGTGAGAAGTCATATAAATACGAACAATCGCTTCGTTTTCACCGAATGGTTCATTTCGGGCAACGGGTCTACTGTTCCCACGAAGACTGCAATCGACACTTCGCGACGATGTCCTCATACTTTCAGCACAAGAAAGAGGGCCGACACGTGTTGGGCGGCCGACCCTATGTGTGCGGTATTAAGAGTTGCGTTTACGAGACACCCCTTAAGAACGAGTTGGAGTCACATATCATGTCCATTCATCCCTACATCAACTGGTCGACCAAATCGATTGTTTGCGATGTATGCGGCCAACAGTTCATTCGGGACGAGTTGTTGGCGATACACGTGCGCGAAGAGCACACAAACAAACACGGATTCAAATGCGATGAATGCGAGCGTTTGTACGCATCTGCGAAAGGACTACAAGTGCATCAGCAGAACAACACGTGTCGTATATTCCGGTGCCATTGGCCGGGATGTGAGTTCCGGACGCCCTATAAAATGGTTTTGTATCGCACGCACGCTATCACTCATTTAGAGGATCAACAGAAGGCCAAAGAGGACACTAACGCGTCCGTCGACGCATCGGATCCCACGAAACGCATCTATCGGTGCGATGTTGAGGGCTGTGACCGCGTATACGATGAGCGAAGTGATCTCAGAGCACATAAAGCACAAAATCACAGCAGATTATATCCAAATCGTAAGTCTAATGATGTCTTTGAAATTAAAACTAAAGCTTAATTTTAATTCAAAATTTAGGGATTAATCAAATTGATGGCAAAACCAGTTCTAAAACAGACAGAAAATCAGTGTCCAAACGGAAAGACACTGTAAAACATGAGCCGCGAAACACTGATATTGGTGTCCAAGAAGTAGGTCTTGAATGTGATGTCAATTTGGTAGCGAATGAAGTGGTAATCGACGGAACTGTTGAAAGTGAAGGCAATGTAAACCTTGTTATCGATGAAAATCGAATCGATTGTAATTTGAAGACAAGAACTGAGGACAACAAAAGTGATTGTGAAAGAAGTGGTGACCAATCGGGCGACGATTACTGTAACGATTCCAGTGATAACTCTCAGTCAAAGGATACGTTTGCCGAGCATTACTTGCAATCGATAGCCAAACTGAAGCCGCCACCGCCGAGAGGACAGTACGCGTGCGATGTCGAGAGCTGTGAGAAGTCATATCAGTCTAAAGAGTCGCTCCGTTTTCACCGAATGAAACACTTTGGCAAACGATTCTACTGTCCTTTCGATGATTGCAATCAACACTTCGGCACTCAAGACGTATTACGTCAACACAAGAAAAAGGGCCGACACGTGTTGGGCGGCCGACCCTATGTGTGCGGTATTAAGAGTTGCGTTTACGAGACACCCCTTAAGGACGAGTTGGAGTCGCATATTATGACTACTCATCCCAACGTTCACTTGTCCATCAAATCGATCGCTTGCGATGAATGCGGCCAACAGTTCATTCGGGACGAGTTGTTGGCGATACACGTGCGCGAAGAGCACACTAACAAACACGGATTCAAATGTAAACGATGCGAACGCTCTTTCAAGACATCGCAGGGACTGCAAAGGCATCGGGAGAACAAGAAGTGTCGCATATTCCGGTGCCATTGGCCGGGATGTCAGTTCCGGACGCCCTATAAAATGATTTTGTATCGCACGCACGCTATCACTCACTCAACGGTTCAACAGATGGCTAATAAGGGCAACAGTGAATCGGTCGCCGACTTCCAACACCAGAAGCGTCTTTATCGTTGCGGTGTTGAGGGCTGTGACAGCGTATTCGATACGCAAAGTCGTCTCAGCTCTCACAATGCATACCATCACAGCACTAGATATCAGTGCCATTGGCCCGGATGTGACTTCAGGGCTGGACACATGTGTAAGATTAAAGAGCACGTGGAGGTGAAGCACACCGGGCACCGGCCGTTCGCGTGCACTCTCGACGGCTGCCAATTCAGTACTCGCCAAAAGTTACAGCTGGAGCTGCATAAGTATCGCAAACATCCCGACCACTTCCCAGACATGCCGTGGTTTAAATGCGATGAAACCTACTGCGAGTATCGCACGAAATGCAAGTATAGGATCGCCACTCACACCAAAGGTCACACCAAACCCTTCGTGTGCGACATTTGTGGCAAAGGGTTTCAATCAAAGCTTCACTTAAATACGCACAGACGCGCCCACACGGAGACCATACGGTGCTCGTGGCCCGGGTGTGAGACAGTGGTGGCCAGTGAGGACACTATGAGGGATCACTATAACACACATACAAAGGCTATAGTATACGAGTGTCTGTGGCCCGGATGTGAGAAGACATTCCTTCAGCGCACGTCTTATGTTCATCACAAACGCACCCATAATAAGGACAGTCGTCCGCGCCATCGATGCCATTGGCCTGAATGTGATTACGAGACCTTTAATCGGGAGTTACTTAAGAGACATATCGATACACATAACGGCGTGGAGACAGTCGCCAAGAAGAGGACCAGAAGTGCACCGAAACGAAGCAAAAGAGCTAAAAAGTGCCAAAATGAGCCCACATATTGTCTTTGCCATCAGGTGTCGTACGGAGAGATGGTTTGCTGCGATAATCCCGATTGTGTAATCATTTTTCACACTTACTCGCAATTATTTGTATGCATAACGTGTTTGTATTAATTGTTTTCAATTTTTGATTGGCAGCCAATCGAATGGTTTCATTTCGGATGCGTTGGCCTAACCATCGAACCGAAGGGAAAGTGGTTTTGTTCCAAATGTGTGGTCGAAAGGAAGAAGAAGTGATTAAATCGTATTTTTATTTTCATTTGATATGTTTATGCACTCCATTGGAAACAAAATTGAATCATTTATTTAATAATGAAAAAATAGTATTTGTTGACCATTTTATCATAAGTTTATTTTGTCATATTTGTAATCTATATGATTAATAATTAATTAATAAATGCTAATTTAATTATCTAGTCTGTGATTATATTTCTATACATCATATGTTAAAAGGGATTCAAAATTTTATTCACTCAATCTTAATGAATTAAATCATTGGACAGTTAGTCCACAAACGGCTTCAACCGATTGTCATATTCAGAGACAATTACGGCTTAATCGCCGAGAGTTGGCCTAAATTATAGCAATTTGTTTAAAATTGTGGTAAGTATTCATTCAGTATTTTAGCGTTCGCGTTTTGGGGGCAAAACGGGGGTAACACAACACAACTGCATCTCTACTATTGTGTTACCCCCGTTTGGCCCCCAAAACGCGAACGCTAAAATACTGAATGTAAGTATTAAACAATTAATAGATAATGCATTTAATGGTCAAATATTGCGCTAAAAGTTTTATAAACATTAACCATAAATGTTATGTCAATTATTTGAACAGATTTTGTCCCCTTTATTATCATCACAACTAGATTTGTATTCACACATTATGTCCATTGACTTCATAGTTGACTCCCTTTTAACACGTTATTTATGGATTGAAGTTTGAGATGAATTTAATGTGTGGTTTGTTTTGGTGTTTCAAATGTTGAGTGATTTTTCATTTGAGAAATTTATGTTAAATTCAGTGTTAATTGCAATTCAAATGACAATTATTTTCGTTTAGAGACAACAAAATGAGTGAAGATTTTGTGATTTTATCGCAATTAACGCGAAATGAGTTGTATTTATGTGTAAATCAATTGAAACGTGAAATCAATTGTTTGTCAACAGATTTATCGAGATTT